AAAAAATATATATCGATCTACCTATGCATATAAAAAAAATGCCACTATGATTCTGAATATTCCCCATGCAACAATAAGTAATAAAATAATGATTAAGTATGGTTAGTAACTGACCTTTATTTTGTTTTGTACGATTTATATGAACACATGTAGTTTCTATAATGTATTTTATTATTTTACTGGTAATTGTTGTTTTGATAAAAACGACTTACTTTAAGTACTGTTTGCAGCAAAAATTTGATTACTGATTTAATTTCAAAACTATGATTTGCTATTGGTTAAATTATATTCATTTGGTGAGAGATGTTAGGAATAAAAAATACAGTAAAATTATAGTCCGTTACATGTCGTAATAGGACTAAATTGATTTTTTTTTTATAAAATAGATAATGTAAATCATAAAATAAATTAATATAAAGATTAAATTAAATTAAATATAAAATATAAAATAAGATTTTCTTTGATTTCAGTAAGGACAAGCTTGTCACAGGGTTTTTAACAGGACACTGTCTCCACATTGAACACCTCAGTAGATTGAAGCTAAGAAATAACGGCGAATGTAGATATATACAGGGTGGTCCGAACTGTATTCCGAAAACTTCGGCAGCAAATTCTGCCGATGAATACGTAAAAACGAAAAAAAAATGGTAAAAAATTGTATTAATGTATGTCCTAAAATGGCTTAGTTTCGGAGATACAGGGTGTAGAAGTTTCATTTTTATTTCGATTTTTTCCAAATAATTTCTCAAGTAACGTCAATATTTGGATGAAAATTGGTGCTTGGGAGTTTTTTGACATGAGAAATTTGATTTTGATGTCAATATGACTCCTACTAGTAGAGGGCGCCACCTCCATATTTTTTAACTGGTTTGAAGAGTAATAAATTTTCGTCCGTACCTGTATAAAACTACTAAATAAAAAAAATATATATTTGCGATGTTTTTTTACGTGAAAATGGTCTCTTGGTAAAAATCGCTACGAGTAGTGGTTTTCGAGATATTTGGAATCGAAATTATCAATACCTGTCATCATTGACATAAATTAAACATGTTAACTAAATAGTTATTAAACTGAAATCATAAATTTGAAATGTTTTTGTGCCAAAAGTACAAAAAAAACTGTTTTATCATGATTTTTTGCAGAAAAATTTATGATTAATTTAAAAAAATAAAGATTTCCCAAATTTATTATTTCAGTGAAATAAATATCTACTCAACATATGTTTATTTTTCGTCAATTCTAAATACCTTAAGAACGGTTGCTCGTAGCGATTTTTACAAAGAGATACTTTTTACGTCAGAAGTCACAGAGATGTATATTTTTGGCTTCGGTAGTTTTATACAGGTACGGACAAAATGTTATTACGCTTTAAAACAGTTAAAATACATGTAGATGGCGCCCTCTACTAGTAGGAATCATAATGACGTCAAAATCAAATTTCTCATGTCAAAAAACTCCCAGACACCAATTTTCATTCCAATATTGACGTTACTTTAGAAATTATTTAGAAAAAATCGAAATAAAAATGAAACTTCTACACCCTGTATCTCTGAAACTAAGCATTTTAGGACATACATTTATACGAACTTTTTTACTTGTTTTTGTCTGCAAAATATGCTGCCAAAGTTTCCGGAATACAGTTCGGACCACCCTGTATATTTACATCACAAGACCCACCTCCTTAACATGATACAAAAAAACAAGGTATCATCGATAGCGGCTCTAATTTCGTTCAGTTTGCCCATATCACCTGTGACGTCACTACGCCATACAAAAAAAACCATATTGTTCAATTGCCACTAATATAAAAAAGACCTAAAATAGGAAAGAATTAGGACATACATAGTTATGTGAAATCACTGAGTCTAACATTGGAAAAGTAATTTTCATATTTATTATGTGCCATCAGTTTAACGATTTGAAATTGGCGAGCTGAGCGTGCCGACCAATGGTGTCAATATCACCTGTGACGTAGTGACCAACCTGCGCTATCATGCCTCCTTAACGGCACTTAAAGGACATAAAGGGCCATTACTTCCCGTTCAAAATATTTTATCTTGTACACTTCGCACTAAAAGAAGTTCTAAACAGAACCATGTTCGACTGGAAGGTCTGCTAGTAATTTTTTTAGGCTTAAAGTATCACAACACTTTAAAATTCATTTAAACCAAAAAATGCAAAAACTCGTAATACAAAACTAAAGTGTCAAAACGAATGACAATGTCAGGAAATAAATAAATAAATGTGACAACTTCACATTTTTTACAGCAGAGCTACGACCTGAATCCCCAGCGGGAAATTTAAATTCCAGTTAGTCAGCCCGGCGTCGAATATGTCCATGCTTGGCAACAATGAATTTAAAAAGCGCGCCCTCGATTACGTAACTAAAAGTTTAATTGATATGGCTTATATGTTATTATTTTAAATACCTATAAAAAATATAAATATTTTCATTTGTAACTTGTCAACTATTGTAGAAATATAAAACATACTCGTGCTGTTCTAAAGAAATGTGAATAACAAAGATGGGAAAATGTTTTTAATTAATTTACATTGTCTGCTTCTGTTTCCAAACGACTAAAAAAAGAAAAAAACTATTTAAGTTAAGACGCTCTCTCTGAGATTATTTACATACTTAAGATAATGAGGTGATCGAAAACAACGTTAATCTCGTGCTAAATGAAAACTAAGTTTAGAAGACTGTTTGTTGTTATGCGATACTACGTAGATTTTCTATATTTCAAAATCTTGCTTGTTTTAACAGAAATTAATGAAATCTTTAAATAAAACAAAATAATTAAGAAACTACAATTTGTAATACAACTTTATATCCACTAAAACATGTATACTGGGTGCGTCTCAAAAGTGGCTCATCCCTCTCCCCAATTTTTATTTTTTTCAGATAAAAAAACGAGATTTGGTATGTTAGTGACATAAATTAGGAATAATTGACATATTCAATTATTGTTTTGGTCACTTCCTGTTTTACCGGAAATGACTACAAATTTTGAATTTTAAATGGCACCATCTGTATATTTTTACTTTATTCGATAGAAAATGACACTCTGAACAGAATAACGTATCATATAATATATGTCAACTTTTGACATTTTCACTTAAAAAAAACAGATGTTTAATTTTAATCTATAGTGCTATTGTGTAAGCTGTGTTAAAAACACTAATTTTTAATCAAGGAGTCTTGGGAAAATAGATTTGATTGTCTAATGTTTTTCGTGTTTTATCCTGCCCGTTTAGAAGATGCGCAAATCGTATTTTTAATCATATTTCATTTTTCTCGCATAGAACGAGGGTGGCTCATTAGCATATTTGGAAAAAACATTTTTGGCGAGTAATTTGGTATCACACGCTTGGTATTTAGAGTCAAATTGTTGTTATGAACCGCATGTTACAATTTGAAATAAACCATATGCGAAAATGCCAAAAGTTGACATGTGATATGTCATTCTATTGAGAGTGTCATTTTCTATCGAATAAGTAGAAACCTTTGAATAAGAAGACTAAGGAAGGAGCATAATGCTATCCATGTATTCATGCATGGTGGGCGGAAAAAGGACTCTAGGGTGGGGATCCTTGACAGTTCTGTTTGACGATTCATTTGACACATTTGAATTTGATTTGAAATTTTGTGGATTTGTCAGTTTTTACGGTGCTTATTTTATGTTATTTATTATTTATTCTACTACTGATAGTTGTATAAAGGTAGTAAATCTAGATGGAAATTGTGGCAGAACTTAAATTAACAGTGACACTATCGCAATTTATCGAAAAAGACTCTAAAATAGTTGGTTGTGTAGCGTGCGGTAGATCTCGGCAAAAATGTGTGAAATAATGGAACAAATTTTCGCTAGTAAGTGACTATATAATATACATACGTGTAGTAAACCGATTATTTATGGAATTCACTTAAATTAACTAATTATATATTTTTTCTTGCATTTTTGCTTTTATTTACTACTTGTCAAAGAATTTAGATACGTCAATTTGACTTATCTGCTTCAGTAGCGTATCGGATGTTTATGGTTATAAACAATTATTATAACTTAACTATTTTTATTAGAATTTTATATTTTTATAACAATTTTAATAACTACCAACATTTATTCACAACGTAAAATAAAAAAAAATTATTTAGTCTACCCCACGTCTACCCTACATCATAGTTTTACATTTTTTAAATAAAATTAGAACGGCACTGACAAACCGGAATTCAAGTCGGCCATATTTGAGGCCCATCGCGGTGGACCTAAGATTTTTGATATGCTCCTTCTTTAGTCTTGTTATTCAAAGGTAGAAATATACCGAAGGTGTCATTTAAAAATCAAAATTTGTAGTCAGTTCCGGTAAAACAGAAAGTGACCAAAACAATTGAATACGTCAATCAATCTTGATTTATGTCATATACTAACGTACCAAATCCCGTTTTTTTTATTTGAAAAAATTAAAAGTAATAGGGGATAGGGATAAGCCACTTTTGAGACGCACCCGGTCAAACATTTTTCTTTATTAAATAAGAACAATCGAGAGAACAATCTACGAATTCTCACGGCGTTTTTAACAGAACACTGTCTCCTCAATGAAGACCTCCGTAAATTAAAGCCACAGATTAAAGCTAAGAAACAACGGCGAATGCAGATCCTGTGGGAAAATGGGGAAACATCAGAACACCTCATATATATCGTGCGCCAAGACGGCAACCATACGGCAACCATTCGTGCTATAAACATTGGTACGACTGATATCGGAGATGGAAAACTAATCTCTGTAAAACCGTTTCAGATACTGTCATTCGTCAAAGCCCTGAGACTGTATGATGAGTTATAACTCAAAAGGGAACCATTTTCTTTTTAATGTATATTTTACAAGGATTTTACTAATATATAATGATATGCTTATACAAAATGCTAATTATGATATAGTAGTTTGTCATGTTAAATTTAATATGATTAGTTGTTTTCTGACGTCAATTCTAAAGTACTCACCATTCGACCTATACCGAACTCCCAAAATTTTTCCAATTTTTTCAGCATGTTTATTTGTTGATCTGAAACATAAAGAAAAGAATGTAAACATATATTTTTAATATGCACATAAGAATGCTTTCTTTTCGTGTTCCACAATTAACCATCAAGGTTACGAATAGCATATTTGAATGGAGTAAAGAGGGAAAAATGTTTAATTTCCGTATAATTAAATAATAGCTATGTTTTAAGAGCATTAAAATTGTTATAAACTGTAATTTACAACACAATAATAATAGGATTCAATTATATCATTAAATAAATCAGTTCTATATGATAATTCGGGATTTTTCTCAGTTTTATTTGTTTACTAAAGTATATACATTTATAAAGAATTTGCAGAAAAAATAGTTAATGAAAAAATAAAGTGAATCTTGGGAAAATGGTTTTATTTTGATTATTGGCACAGTTATTTTATCAATTTCCAGCTTCCTATTCTATTCTATTTAAAGAGGAATGTATGTGCTCTTTCATGACCTGATAACCTAAATATAAACCTTATTTTCATTAACCTATTTACTGTAATGCCATACTTAATCATATTAATACAAAATGGTATATAAAATGAAATTATACATGTACTAGACAGGATGATAATCAAAATGTGACAAAAAATGAGTAGTTGAATGTTTAGTTAAATAAGTTAAATTTTTCATATATTATAAAGTTTTCAGAATTTAACGCTAAATGATTTGCTAACAGAAGGTGAACCAAAATCACAATATACAGCTTACATACCGGGTGCATCTCAAAAGTGGCTCACCACAATAACTTTTTCATTTTTTCAGATAAAAAAAACGAGATTTGGTGTGTTAGTATATAACATAAATTAGGATTGATTGACGTATTCAATTGTTTTTGGTCACTTTCTGTTTCACCAGAAATGACTACAACTTTTGATTTTCAAATGGCACCCTTGGTATATTTTTACTTTATTCGATAGAAATTGACACTCTGAATAGAATGGCATATCATACGTCAACTTTTGACATTTTTGCTTAAAAAAAATCGTATTTCAAATTTCAATCTAGAGTGCCATGGTTAAATGTTAAAAACACTAATTTTGAATCCTAATTTATGTCATATACTAACATACGAAATCTTGTTTTTTTACCAAAAAATAAAAAAGTTATAGGGGTAAGCCACTTTTGAGTCGCACCCGGTATAGTAAATACCTTTATGAATCGCTAACCAGAATTTAATTTTAATAAAAGTTTTAACATTTTTGTCAATATGGTAACGAAAATATTTTGGGTTTTGATTAAATCTGTGAAATTCCCGTTTTATTTTTTTAACACATACAACAAATAATCCACAATAAATTTATATTGTCTGGTAAATTTATTGTACGTAACTCAATTCTAATAAAAATACAAAATACCTTTTTTATTATTTACCACCCGGAATTTAATAAAGGTTTTAATATTTTTGTAAATATTAACAGCGAAAATATTTTTGTTTTTAATAAAATCTAGGAAATTCTTATTTTCTTTATTTATTTAAAGGTGAGTAAACCTATAATATATTATTTCTATTGTACTGGTTATTCTAAACTAGGTTATCTTACAAGATTACCTTTTAAATAAGTTGCGAATTATAAATATTATTATTTATATAGAGGTTATGATAAGTTGCGGTAGAAATATATTAGTAATTCTTGGGAGTGTTAAAAACATATTTTACTTGAAATTAAAAAGGCAAATTATTTATTGCCAAAAGAGTGTATTGGCAGTTATAGTTGAATTAATTTCTCAGTGACTTTGTTGAATATTTTAGTCTCTACGATGCTCTACTTAACCGACGCATGTTCGAAAGTACCCAGTACCATAGACTTAAAATAAAATATAGACTGAGCATCTCATTCATAAATAGCTGGAACATGCGGTCAGACACTGTCTTATTATTGTTGTGTTATTGTTTTAGGTTATAACGAGTGCGACACGAGCGATAGATAGGTTGTCTCTGTCGTAACGGTCGTTCCCTGACGACTCTGCCGAGAAACACAACACTGTCTTTCGTTTCTCAAGTACACCTGAACTCTCCGTATCATAGCCGGGTATTTTTTTTATTTTAATGAAGCTATAATTAAATTAAAAATATATCGTATTTAAACTTTTTTATATTTTATTAAGATTTAGGACAGGTTTTTTAAATAAAACTTTAGAAAAAACAATTTAGAGTCCAAAAAGGATAAAATAATAAAATACACGTTATAGAAGAAATTTTATAATCGAAATTAGGTAATTTTTGAAATTAATAATAAATTATTAATTTTAGTCAAACATTTACAACCCCTAATATTGATCAAAACAGGATCTATTCCACAGATATAATAGAATCGGCGACGGGAAGAGAAAAAAAATATGATTGTTGTAATTTTTATTCTGGTTAAGTGATGTCTTATTATGTAAATTAGAGAAAACATAAATCTGTTCCATTAAAGCAAGGAAGGTGGTGGAAGTGGATAAAATGAAAACTACATTTATTTAACTCGGTACTGTCTTTATTATACCGGGTGCGTCCCAAAAGTGGCTCATCCTCATAATTTTTTATATTTTCAAATAAAAAAAACAAGATTTAGTATGTTAGTATATGAAATAAATTAGGATTGATTGACGCATTCAATTGTTTTTGGTCACTTCCTGTTTCACCGGAAATGACTATAACTTTTAATTTTTAAACGGCACCCTCGGTATATTTCTACTTTATTCGATAGAAAATGACACTCTGAATGGAATGACATATCATATGTCAACTTTTGACATTTTCGCATATGGTTTAATTGTAATTGTAACACGCGGTTCATAACGACAATTTGACTCGAAATACCAAGTGTGTGGTATCAATATATTCATAAAAAAATGCTTTTTCCAAATATGCTAATGAGTCACCCTTGTTCCATTTGAAAAAATTGACATATGTATGATTAAAAATACGATTTGTACATCTTTTAACCGGCCTAGACAAGACACGAAACCTATTAGACGATCAAAACTATTTTTCCAAGGCTCCTTGATTAAAACTTAGTGGATTGAAAAAACTGGATTGAAATTTAAAATAGGATATGTTTTTTAAGCGACAATGTCAAAAGTTGACATATGATATGTCATTCTATTCAGAGTGTCATTTTTTATCGAATAAAGTAGCAATATACCGAGGGTGCCTTTAAAAATCAAAAGATGTAATCATTTCGGTGAAACAGGAAGAGACCAAAAACAATTGAATACGTCTATAAATCCTAATTTATGTCATATACTTACTAACATACAAATCTGTTTTTTTATCTGAAAAAATAAAAAAAGTTATAGGGTTGAGCCACTTTTGAGACGACCCGGTATATTAAAAAATATTGTTTCATAATGTAATATCATTTTAAAATTCTTGTATGTTATTTTAGATTCTGAAGATAATTTTAGAATAAACCGGAATATATTTTTAATAAAAACATTATTAATTATTAACAGGGTTATAATTATGATTTTGTTACAATGTAAGTAAGTAAATAATGTAATGTAAGAGAAAAAATTCAGATTTTACATTTTACTAAAATATTATCTAAATAAGCGCCTTTCTACAACAACGCCACTGACTCCCAATGGGTAAATTGAGAGTTGCCTACCGGTCAAAAGTCGTTTCAAGACTTAAATGGATTATTTAAGTCAAATTTCTTGCAAATTTGGCACTGGCGAACCATATTTTATAGTTCTTGAACAGAAAAAGTCAATAAAATAAACACTTAAGCACTACAAGCTAAGAAAATGCGTTAATACAGCCGGGGAGATAGCGGCAACAAAGCTTTACCGCACACGTGCGACACGTACTACAAGGTAATAAATGAATGAATAGGCTCCCTCGCCTCTAATCGGTGTTGTCATATTGTAAAGAACTTATCCTTTTTAAACAGTATCCGACTTATAATTTAGTAGTATAAGGACTATTTAATACATCTCTGGAATATTAAAACCTACTTTATTAAACTGTAGTATTAATATCTCAATATATGTGTATAACAAGAAAAAAAATATTGATAATATTAAAGACGTGACAACATAGGCTGGATGAGGAAGGCTCGGTCGACTGTACCCAGAAGTAAACATGTGTACAAAAAAGGTTGTTTGTCCGCGTTGAGATGTAAATAGTGTAGTCTATATTTTATTTTAAGTCTATGCCCAGTACCCATTTCTATACTTTGGCGCTCTAATTTTTCGCTTTTGATGCACTCCTGGAAAGTGAATGTTTTTTTGGTTTATATTTAAAAGTCCTAGAAAAGTTCACAAATAAATTTATAGTTTCTTTTTTGCGACGTCCGGATTTTGTTCGGATTTCTGAGTTCACTTGTCCGGAATTACCAAAAGCTTTTATGGAAAACCTAGTTATGTGTCTAAATTAGGGTTACCATAAAGGCTTTTGGAAATTCCGGATAAGTGAACTCAGAAATCCGGACAAATGAACTCTGAAATCAGATCAAAATCCGGACGTCGCAAAAAGGAAACTATAAATTTATTTATGAACTTTTATAGAACGCAAATAACAGCCCCAGAATAAACAAAATATAACGGAAAAAAGGAATATTTTTAATCTTAGAGTAAAAGTGGCATATAATTATAACCCATTTTTACGGTAAAGTTTCTTTCTCTCATTTTTGCTCTCATTGCTACTTAAACCGCTTTTGTCCTCTGAAAAACGCAAACCGTTTTTGCCGAGAGTAAAATTTTAACCCACTTTTGCTATCAGCCTCTCAATTCAACTGTAACTGGGCAAAATATTTTACTAAGTTGAATAATTGTTTTTGCGGTCAGTTTCCCGAACGCTTTTCCAAATCCGGACATGTCCGGGTAAATCCGGACGTATGGAAACCCTGGCCTAAATGGATTGAATGAAAGTCCTATAGACATAGTACATCTATGTCTATAGGATAATAAGTAGAAACATATATAATTACAGGTTTATTTATATTTTATTAATTAGGTAACAAATTAGAAATTCACAATTTATTAAAAAATATGTATTGCATTTTCTGTTTCCTATTAAAATCATATTTAGGCCAACATTACAAAAAAAATCTTGCATTAGAAATGTTGGGAAACAATAATTTCTTTCACAGGTCTTTTTCAATGAAGAAATATCCGTTTGTCGTGCGGAATAATGATTTTCCCAACCTTATTATATAAAGAAGTATTTAAAAACGTGCATTATGGGTCCATAATAAATAAATAAACAATTTCTGTGATTTACTGTGTTGTACACAAATCAGTTAAGAACACTTGCATGCAATAAATGACCTGATATAATCTTAAAAATTATCATTAAACAAACTGAAATGTAAACTAATGTAAAATTAATGAAAATAAAAACATTATTATTACGCTGCATGGTTAACAATGGATGTATTCTGTCAGTAAACAAATTATTAACTTTCCAAAAACATATTTCATTCAACATTTCTTTTATATATATTTTAAAAATAATAACACTAAAAATAAACTAAGTGAAAAATATTTGTTTCTTTTAAAATAGTGTTGAAAAGAAAGCAGTTTATTTTCTGTATTGTTAATTGTGTCTTGACCACTCGCAATTTCATATTAAAGAACATACATATCTCTGACCTTAGATGTAATGAAGGTTTATGTTAATAAAGTGTTAAGATTGTTTCTTTATTCTCTGGTTGGTATTAGATTTTTAATGTAGTGTAATAAAATTGTAGTTACTAATAATAATATAATCTATCTCTAATTTTATTTTAATTTTAAATACCTCCCATTTAAATTAAATTATTTTTTATTAAAATAAGAAAAACCTAAATATCACAAAAAATCAAAAATTATAACAAAATTTATTATTATATAAAATATAAATATTTAAGAAAATATGTACAGAAGAAGACTAGAAACAAAATTATAATGATATTAATCCAATGTATTTGATTTAAGATACATATAGGATTGGTCTTAAATTGATGCACAATGCACATAGTTTTATTTCTGTGAGGTTTTTTTCGCCAAAAAATTGTGAAGATTTTGTATTTTTCGAAATATTTTTTTGGATTTATCGTTAAAAAACATTATAACTTGATAACATGGCAACTTGGCAACACAGGAAGGAAATTAAATTTAGAGGAACGAAACCACAGAAAAGAATATAATAATTGTTCTGAAAATTTAAGCACAGTTTTATTAAAAAACATTTCTTTTATTTTCAATGTAAAATAACTCAGCTTTTTTGACACCTGTTTGAAAAACAGTAAAAAGAAAAAAATATTTCTTCTTTCGAGATCTACTAACCCTGAAAATATGTGCACACAACTTATCCTGTATAGATATATTTTGTAATCAGACTTAAAATAATGAAAAATACAACAAATTAAAAAACACTATTAAAATATCTAAACTAATTAAAAAAAAACGTAACTAAATAATAACTACTTGCAAAACTAAATTAAAAAAATAGAAAGTTTAGAAACATAACTGGGAAATATTGTAGTAAAATTATTAATAAAATTAAATAATAGATTAAAATAAAAAGAATAAAAAAGTAACTAAAAAATGTAATAAAAAATAACGAAAATCCACAAAAACACTACGTTAAATTCAAACAAGGAAGATACAGTAAAAGAAAATTAATAATAACCCTAAATAAATAATAAATTAAACTCACCTAATAACACAATAATAAAAGAAGACACAATTAAAAAAATTAAAAAAAACTAACACTAATCCAAAAAAAATCGTCGAAAGTTTTATCCGAGGCTTGTGGACGATTAACAAAAAAAGTTGTAACAGAACCAGGAAATTTATATAATATAAACGATATATGGCGATAAGTTTTTTGTCAGAAAAAAGTGGTGGGGGTGGGGATAATGAATTGTTTTGGAGCGCGTCGCTGTTTCTTGGCTACTACCATGACGGCTGGCGAGCGCCAAGTTTTGTTTGGCCGGCATAACAAACACGCGGTAGTACCGCTGCCTGCTGTTGTTGCTCTTGTTACAGCGGTACGTAAATTGCTGTCCCCCTCCTCCTGATTCCTGCTGGTGCACATCTGCAGGTCGATTGACTTTCAACCCGGTGCTCGCTGATACGGTTATCAATGATGATAGTTTAGATTCAAGGTGGATCGATTTCAAGAGCACGAAACTCCTCATTTTTTCCTGCTAATAAGATTGTTTCTTATATTTTGCATATAGAGGTAGAAAAAAAATAGTAAATAACTCTTAAATTCTATCGTTTTTCAAAGTAGTTTTCGTATTCTCCACGAAGAGAAATGCATTTTTGCACCCCTTAAAATTAGTTCGGATTCGATGGTTGGTACCTTCAAAATTGCGCTGGTACCTTCAGAAGGCGCTGTACAGTGTTGCGGCCCATAAAAATACGAAAATCCAAATTTAAATTCGAATTTAAAAAATGTGTTATTTTAGCAGTAAAATATCCGTACTTATCTTTGAATAAGAAGACTAAGGAAGGAGCATAATGCTATCCATGTATTCATGCATAGTGGGCGGAAAAAGCACTCTAGGGTGGGGATCCTTGACAGTTCTGTTTGACGATTCATTTGACACATTTGAATTTGATTTGAAATTTTGTGGATTTGTCAGTCTTTACGGAGCTTATTTTTGTTATTTATTATTTATTCTAATACTGATAGTTGTATAAAGGTAGTAAATCTAGATGGAAATTGTGGCAGAACTTAAATTAACAGTGACACTATCGCGATTTATCGAAAAAGACTCTAAAATAGTTGGTTGTGTAGCGTGCGGTAGATCTAGGTGAAAATGGAGTGAAATAATGGAACAACTTTTCGCTAGTAAGTGACTATATAATATAAATACGTGTAGTAAACCGATCGTTTATGAAATTCACTTAAATTAACTAATTATACATTTTTTCTTGCATTTTTGCTTTTATTTACTACCTGTCAAAGATTAGATGTCAAAGAATTTAGATACGTCAATTTGACTTACCTGCCTCAGTAGCGTATCGGATGTTTGTGTTAATAAATAATTATTAAAACTTATCTATTTTTATTATAATAATATGTTTTTATAACAATTTTAGATAACTACCAACATTTATTTACAACGTAAAATAAAAAAAAAATGATTGAGTCTACCCCACGTCTACCCTACATCATAGTTTTACATTTTTTAAATAAAATTAGAACGGCATGATAAACCGGAATTTAAGTCGGTCATATTTGAGGCCCATGATTGGAGTTGGTCCCCCCATGAGGCCCATGAGGTGGACCTAAAGATTTTGATACGCTCCTTCCTTAGTCCTCTTAGTCAAAGATACTTATTAAAACAAAGTAAAAAATTACCAGGAATGCCTTCAGGTCACAAAAATTTGTTTATATTTCTATAAAACAATTACTGATAAAGCATTAAGTGTTGAACGTTTTTCGCTGTCACTTTAGTAGCAGATTGTTCAGGGCGGATACAGGAATTTATTTTAGGGGGCCCAAAATAAAAAGTAATGTAGAATATTTAATTTTTTTAATTTATATTATTTTTTGTTAATGTTATATGCTTTTTAGGGCGTCATTTTTAATAAAAAGACCAAATATTTAACACAATTTACAGATTTTAGGGGGATCCCGGGCCCCATGTGCCCCCCCTCGGTACCCGCCACTGAGATTGTTTCTTTAATAGCATTTATATAAGTTTTACTTTTGAAGGTAAGGTGTATTAAAAATAGATAACAGAAATTGTATGAGTTCATCACCCCAAATTTACAAAAAATTTAAACCTGTCGTAGCTCAGAAAGTAAAAAATTAAAGTATCAAACTTTAAGTTACCTTTAAAAAAACGTATCAAACAGATTTTGTATATAAGTAGACTTATAATATAATACACCCTGTATCTATAAAACGAAGTAAGTTAGGACAAACGATTGTATGAAATATTTTTCTTAGTATTCTCGCGAATATTAACCCTCAACTGACGTGGCGAGTTCTAGCGGATCCTAAGCACTATTTAAACCTCTGTAAAATGTTTACTAGGCCTCACCGCGCCAATTCCCTTTAAATTAGGGTACCAATATGCAACTGTTAAAGGTGCACTTAATTTTATCAACTATTCTTCCTACCAGCTGGAGCTAAAGTTTCATTGGGGTCTATGTGGAACCACCACGCCAAGAATGTTTCATTATTAGGATGGTGCGGGTAGTCTAAAAAGTGTGCTTCACTGGGACGGTAATTTTGAGGAAGCATTAATGGAGTGGTTTGATGAACTTAAAGAGGCTTAAGTGAGATGAAGATCATCGAGACATTGATTTTTCTCCGAGGAGTAACCATAACTCCCATTCTGAACCTCTTACTTATAGAAGAGAGAAAGATTGAATAATCAATACCAGAAAAGAAAGAGATGTGGTATATGTCAATGAAGAAATGACAAATTACAAAAATCTGATGAATCAAATGTGCACGATCCATGTGCGGCAAATGCAGATCCTATATCAGTATGAACTGTATTTGAAAAAGTTTTGTACATTCAAGGTTTGCAGTTTTGTTGAAAATAATTTATGTTTATTAGCTTCACATTTCACTTGTTTGTACTTTTAGTAATACGGTAATATCATAAAATATATATGTTTTTAATTTCTATGGGATTCTTAGCCAAGTTATATTTCTGTTGTCAAAAATTCCAAAAAAAATGCGTTTCACTTAATTTTTGCGTCAGTTCTTATTAATTTGTTGAAAATTAATGAAATTGTTTATTCACAAGTTTGAATATATTGTAAACAGTGTTAAAATAACAAGCTTTTTTATAAAATCTCTTCATCATGTATTTGTAACTGAAAAAAATAAAAGCACGCCACAAGCTGTGCAAAGATTTAAGGGCCCGTCCAGAAGAGCGACTCAGTAGCACTACTGCGTGGCGCCACATAGTGGCTCACATTGTTTTGTCATTATATCACACATATCTTCAAGAAGGCGTTCAGACGAGCGATTTTGTATCGCTAGGTGGCGCGTCAGTGGCGATCGGTCGCCGATCCCCGCCACGAATCGCCACCACCGATCGCGTGTTCTCGTCCAGACGGGCTACTTTTAAATTAGCATCCCGCTTCACTACTGGGTATACATTATTCAATAAAAAATGCTTTCGACACAGATCGATTTCTAGCGCCACCGTGTGGCGCAGCAAAGTGGCCAGAATATGCCACTTAGCAGCGCTTCAGCGTGGCGCCACTGAATCGCTCGTCTGGACGGGCCCTAACACACCAGTTGAGGGTTAAAATCTCTGTACTTAATTTTGAATTACTTATTTTTGTAATTCTTAAGTTTCATTTAAAATTTATTTATTGCGATATTATATAAAATGTTTTTTTTTATTTATATTTTGTGCCAAAATGAACTAAAAAGATTGATTTGAAAACTCTAGGATTTTTGTCCCAAAATGACCATTTTCGCAACGCTGTGCGCTGACTGCATCTTATGGTGACTGGAATCTTTGACCAACGCAGTTCATTTTTCATTTTTGGAAACGTGAAAAAGTGGTTAGAACTTAGGTCGGAACTGTATGGAAGGTGGTCCAACAATTCGATGTGTTTTGAGCTTTAAAAATTCGATTGTTTTCCGATCTATGTGGGTTGCCTTGTTTTGGTCGAGGATTATTCATATAGTTGAGAGTTGGTTTTTTGAAACTCAAAAATTACTTCCGGCAGACAAATATATATGTACCAATCATCAGTAACAGATCTTTGAACTAGCAGAGGTATGCTATTTGACCTGCTTCTGAGACAACCATCTTTTTGGAAACAATTCGAGAACGGATAATAACTTTCGACGATTGTCGTTCATTACGAAAAACACAAAGAACCGATTGACGTTTATTTTCGGGTTCATAAGAGTAATTGAAGGATTCATCACCACTGAAAATACTCTATACATATATTATTTGAGATTCTTGCGTTAAACCGGTAGATATAGAGTTTTTTGACTAATCACACTAATTGCTTTCTGTTCTTCCGTCAACAGATGCGGTATTCAACGAGAAACTATTTTTTTTAGAGATAATTCTTCAAGTATTTTTGTATGGAGGTCTCTTTGAAATGGTCAATGATGCTTCAATTTCATGATATGTGGCATGTCGATTTTCTTCGATCAGCTTACGTACATCATCGACGTTTTCTTGGGTGACAGCCGTTTTGGTAGACCTGCTCTTGGATCGTCACTAAGACTAACCAGTCCATGTTTAAATTCTCAATACCAACGAAAACTTATCGATTGATGTGGTCCTTTCGTCCAAGAAGCATCACGAATATATGAACCAACTCAACAAGGCATTCTTGTTGAAACAACTGTCTTGGAAAATTGTACCAAAAATATATTGACATGCGCCTACTATGTCTCTATATGCAAAACATAAAAGACAATCCCTCGTGGTACAAAAAAGCTGTATTCCGTTTTTTGTCTATTTGGTTATGATTTTCTGTTCCGTTTCTATGTTTTGCCTGAACTTTTTACTATTACGGAAGACGGTTTCTGGCAATCATTGGTCGTTACCCTTGTTTAATCAAGGGTCGTTACTGTCTCCAAATAAACCAGCGCAAAAAGCCAATCTTTCTAGTTTAGGTTTCAGTTATATTCCAATCCCTTTTTTTGCAAGTAAACTTGAACTTCTACAGTAAGTAACTCCGAGTTCCTCTGAGTAGTGATATTTTAACAGTTTGAATAGTTTTTCCTTTTCTACTTTTGTTTGTTTTTCTTTCGACTACGGGGGAAAATATATTATCTCCTGAACCGTTAAACAAATTGGTTAGACAACTTTGTCTAGCAGTAAAAACTCATTTGTGAGTATCTGATTACCGTTTGAATTATAGACGCAGTGGTCTTCTTCTTCTTCTTCTTTCTCAGCCTGGGTCCATCCAGTGTTGGAAATAGGCCTCTTCTAGGTTTTTCCACGCTTCGCGATCTCTAGCCAATCTTATCCATTGTCTTTCAGCCACTACCCTGACGTCATCGACCCTTC